TGTTGTCAATGAGAATTCAGCATTGGAATGAGGTTGTAACATGACCTGATGTGTGCACATGGACAATAATAGGAATTAATGTGTGCATTTGGGACAAATCTTATTTTCCTCCCTCCCCCATACTCTCTCAATGGGTTTGGAAAGTCCAGAAGGTAATGGAAGGAAGAATGAGGGCCTGCCCAAGAGGTGTGTACCATGGACAGTACTCCTGAGAGCTACCTCACACAGGGAGGTTTTGGAGGTGGGGTGCGGCTAGGTGATATTCCTCACCTACTCACAAAAACAGGTCCAGGCAGATGCTCTTACTGCAAGGAAACACAGCCCCCCCCCGTTGTTGCTGGCTGAGAAATTGTGATCTTAGTAATGCTGCCACTCCAGTTGTGTGGGTTAGTACATTTTGCATGATGAGGACAGTTTAAAAAACTAAAAGGAAAATTTGCAAGTAGGTTAAAGTTTGGGCCCATCAATTAGAGCAGCGTCCCTTTAAAATCTTCACTCATAATATAAGTATTTATGTTCCAAATACAATGTGTGATGAGTTCGAGGAGAAAAATAGTAAATTCAGAATTCTGTTTCAGATTTCTTACCTTCTGAGCAGAGTAGAGCAGTCAATAATGCAACAAGAAGCAAAACTGAAGATTGCCTACAAAGAGAGCAACCAACAGCTCCACCTTCTGGATGTTAAGTGAGTACTCACCTTGTTGGAAAATCATGCTATTTATACATCAAGGGGCTAGTCTTGCAAACCCCACTATGCACCTTTCTGTAGTTTTAGGCACCTAAATACTTCTGTAAATCTGGTCACAAACCACTTTGAACTAAATTTGTAAAACATTGTGTGCCAGATGTGAGTATTAAGACCGGGAAAAGAATGTATACTGTATATACATGTGCAGACAGCCAGACACGGAATTCAATAGTTGTAACATTTTCAAACTGACTGCAAATATATATGTGCACATAGAGTTACTGCAACTATCTCAGCACTATGCCAAAATGAGAGAGGCAAATGCATAGGACTTCAAATACTACAGCACATTGAAATTTATACATGTAGATCCAAATCCTAAAATCTTTACTCAGTTCTTTCCAGTCCAAACTCTCATGGGCTTCAAAGACTGTAAAGTGAATGGGATGCCACACTTGCTTCTAGGCTATGACATACTATTTCTTGAAGGGTCTGCATCATATATGCCTCAAAATACTGCAACCATATTTTGTGCAACTAGTTGCTGTTCTATTACATTCTCTCATCCTTGATTATCTGAAACAATTAACATAAACCAAGGCTAGCAGTGTGAAATTTCAAAACATTGCATGAATATGCTGTCAAACATGCTATGGAGGAAGAAGGGGATTTTTATGCTGATTGTCATAAAAACTCCACAGCCCAGTGATCAAAGAACCTGAGATGCTCTTGTATATTTGCAAACATGCTCATTTATTTTATTCTCGTAGATTAAAAGGTGCAGTAGAAGAACTCAGCAGCCAGATATTGTCTGCCCGCAGCTGGTTGGAACAGGAACATGAACGGATTGAAAAAGAGCTTTTACAGAAAATTGATCAGATTTCCTTGGCCCTTAAGGAAAAGACTGTAGGTTTCTGTAATAAAAGAATAAACTGTTTTGAAAATACTTCTAGAGATGTATACAAGCAAATGTTACTGAGTTGGCATTTGGTGGGATTTTCAGAAGTGCTCAATATGGGCATAAGTCCACTGCTGTTGATGCAATGATAAAATTCCCATTGATTGGGAGCTTTTGAAATGCATCCTATAATGATAGATAAATCTGAACATTACTTTTAAATTTACAAATATTCTATCTTAAAAATAAAATGAAGAAGCAGCTTACAGTGACCCAGCCAATTTGAGAATTTTTATTAACTATATTCTATAACTGCTTAAACATTTAAATCTTGTATAGAAAATTATAAGTAAGCATTGATGCTTGTTGCATATCTAGGGAATGAACAGTTTATTACCCAAAGAATTTGGTAATTTATTACCCAAAGAATAACCAAATATAATTATTTTCACTGATCTCAGGAAATGAGTGAAAGGGCCATAGAGATGAGATTCAGCCAGATGTCAGAGAAACTTGATAAAATAGAAGAAATTCAAAAAATAACCATGGAGGAACATGGAACAAAACAGGCTGAAGAGAAGATAAATATTCGAATCAGCAAGCTTCAGATGGAGATTAATGAAGATATAAAAGAAATGAAAGCTGAAGTTAATGCTGGTAGGACCACTACTGTCAAGCTTTGTACTCTGAATTCTGCTACCAGAATTTAGCTATGATAATAATACTAATTTGCATTAATGTATCTTTCATCTGAGGATCTCAAAGCTCTTTACCAACTTTGGGACCGATTTTTCAACTGGGTGCATAATGGATGTACCTACAAAACCGTGCACGCACCTGTTGCAGGCACAGGTATCTGCACAGTGGGTGAGATTCCTACAAAGCACAGAGCGAAACTGAATTAGCTTTAGATTTCTTGTTGTCGTTTTCTTTGTCTTTAGAAAACAGAAGAATTCAGTAGTCTATTGAGGGAGTAGCCAGGCAAGAGGGTGTGGACTTGTGCTTGCCAACAGCTCTTGGCTGCCATAATGTGTATATGGGCACAGCTCCATTGACTTCAATGGAGTTTCACCATCTACACCAGCAGGCCCGGTGTCTGTCTTTATTAGGGACATTTGCTCTACTGATAATGGAAAAATGCACTGTTATATGTTGTAATCTTGAATTTTGCTTTCTAATGTTCTTTAGTTTTAATAATAAAACTAATTCAATTTCTATCTGTAATTAGGGTTTGCGGCTATCTATGAGAGCATTGGGTCCCTACGGGAAGTTCTAGAAGCCAAAATGAAACTTGACAGGGATGAGCTACAGAAGCAGATTCACCAAATGAAGCAGGAAGTTCCGACATAGGGAGAGTCAAGATCATGACTGATCACAAGATTTATTCAGAGAGAAGAGCATTTATGTGTCTAAATAGGCTATAACCTCATTCCAATTTGTAATTAAGTGCATGTACCAAATAACATGCTTCTGTTCCAATGGTGTGTATGTTTACTGTAAGCCGTAAATGCAAGCTTTTAATAGCTAAGCTGATAAATAGTTTTTAGGGGGCAAAGCCCTAGCTCACCACTGTTTTACTCCAGTTGATTTCGGTGGAGTTACAGCTGTTTAAAAGTGGAGTAACACATTGGTGAATGTGATGCCAGATTTGTTAAAGGAACCTCAGTGCTGCCTCCACTTTTGTGGGTTTTGAAATATTAGCACTTGTACCCACAGTTAATTGCTCTGTTTAAAAGTCAAGCCTTAACAGGTCAATATCACTTTGCAATTCACCACCTTGCCAGATCTTTCTCCCATTGAAGTCACTGGAAATGTTCCCATTAACTTCACTGGGAGCAGAACTGGCTTCTAATAGACCAGTTTTAAAAATCCAAATACCATCAGAGAATGATGCCTTTGCTTCATTAAAAAAAATATTGTGTGTGCGCACATGCGTGTTAACTATATAGTATTATATTTTGTAGTTGTAGGCTAAGAATAATCCATTTGAGGAACACGAGCAACTTAACATGTCGTCGTTTGAAGTCCTTAGGTATTGTGAACTTTCTAATTAATATCCAGGTAGAGCTGAGATGGGGTGAAGGATAACGTATACAGTATTTTATTGTAAGTTTTAATATCAGTTGTGTTCTTGTGCATTGTTTCATTATGTCAGTGTAAACTTTGAGGGTTTTGCTGTCAGTGGAGAAAGTGATAATTCAAATAATTCTGGAGAACACGATGTAAAAATAAGATGCATTTTGATGTATCTTAAAATGTTTTATGATCTACTAGAAATTTGTACTGCTGATGTAAGACAACTGACTCTTCAGATTTAATTTATTTAAGTAGGTTTTAATAATTTAGCATGGATAAGTAGATTTGAATTAGTATTGTATTTACAAAATTTCCAAAGAATATTTTAATCTCTTAATGTACTTTATATTACACTGGTGCTTATTTCAATTTCCATAATAGATTACACAATGAAAATTAGCACCAACACTGTGTAGTAATCTAGATGGGAAAACATTCAGGGCCTAATCCTGCTCCCATTATCGTCAAGTGGTGCAGGATCAAGCCATCACTCAGAATACATGGCCTGATCCAAAATCCATTGAAGTCAATAGGAGTCTGCAATGGCTTCAGTAGGCTTTTGCCCAGGCCCATATTGCCAAATGCTGGTGCCATTGAACTGTCAGTGGCAAACTCCCAATGACTTTGATGGGCCAAAGGTGTGGAACAAATAGTACAACAGTTAAGGCCCCAATCCTACAAGGTCTTAAAACTCATTGATTTCAGTAGGACAATGCACAGTGTGTAACATTAAGCAAATGCACAAGTCTTTGCTGGATCAAGGGCTAAAGTAGCATTTGCTGCCAATATAGCCAAAAGTGTGTTTAACATATTATAGAACTTACCTTAAAACTTTACAACTTTGATTTCCAATGCTCTCTAATGGCAAAAAAGACTCTTTTCGTCCCACTTTGTGTCACCCAGTTGGCCACCTGCTGTGAAATATAATTAAAATAGTAGCTAGAGATAAGATTCCTGTTCACTGGAAGGAGATGGTTAAAACATTTACAGGTATTTCTTAAAAGTTGTTTTTAAAATTCCTTTTCTTGATGTCTGTATACCTATCTAGTCAATATTTAGCCATGTGCAGTGGAGAAGAAATCATTGGCCTTATGTAACCCTCTTCCCCCCGGCCTCCCTGCAGAAGGTATTTTTCTCCTACAATAGAAAATCTGTAACAAAGTGAATCTTACAGGAAATGAACAAGCATACAGTAAGTCAGAGAAACAATTTATATATGATTTTAATAAAAATGTTTCTCTTGTAAAACCTTGTGTGATCCAGCCCATATATAAAACAACACAGGAAATGCTAGCTGATTACTTGGTTTTTGCTTTTGAAAACAGTTTTTTCCCTAAAGGTGAATAAAGGGACATTATCAGGTCAAAAATGATCTCTTTCTAAAATAATATCCATATCCAGGTTACTAAATAACAGCATTACACCAGTGTCTCCAAACTTCAGGGGTAGGTGCCAGGCAGATATGAGTGAGAGAACAAGAGCCCTGTGAGCAGAGAGAGAAAGCTACCTGACCTGGATCTACATTGCTCTCTGCAAACATGCAGGTAAAACTCCCTCGCTCTCACCTTTCCTTCTTTCTTCTATGGTGGCCCATACGGCAACCAGTTCTGGCAGCAGCAGATGTGTACAGGGTTACAGGTTCAGACAGTAGTCCACTGATCCATGTTTCTCCTGCCTGCTGCTGTGAAACTCAACTCACATAACAACATGTGCAGTTCAGTCTCACAAGACCGCTAACGGATATCCTTTTCAAGCCCCAAGATGTGGTCCATGGTTAGTGTGGGAGTGGAGAGGAAGAGCCTGCAGGGATGTGCAGCAAAAAAGAGAAAGCAAAAGGGGGAAAAACCAAGACTGGGAGCAGGGGGAAGGAACTGGCTGAAAGGATAGCAGAGAAGGAGACAATGGCCATAAGTAAGGACATACAATGGCAACAGTTTTGGGGCATGGTGGGAGGACTCATGGAAGGGGACCTGCTGAAGCATCACAACAGGGGTTTGAACAAAATAAAGCTGGGAGCTACGGGGTTGGATTACTAACACAGAGAAAAATGTACACACCTAATTTACTTGTCATCATTTATACTCCTTGTTCTCTGTATTTCACGCTGCTTGAACAAGAGAAATAGAGGAGTTGTTTTCGCTTTTTCTCCAGTCAGTTTCCCTTTCTGGTTCTCCTGCACAAGCAGGTGCTGGGCGGCTTGTTTGCAAACTCTGCAGTGGAATATTAATCCTTTCAAAATAATGTTTGAGATTGTCAAAGCAGTGTATTTGGGATGCACATCTTGTGTTCATTTCAACTGAAGATGTGTGGTGAAATCCACTTCTCTGAAATCTCAACAACCTGTCTCCTTTGAAATAAACACACAGACACAGGGATATTTCTAAAAGCTTGCTTTTGCAAAACTAAAATTTGCTTCTAAATTGACTTTACTAAGTCTCTGTAAAACCAAGAGGAAGAACCTTCAGTCGTTATACAATGGAGCGGCCCCTTCTGGTTTTTAGTGTCATGCTGCCATCATGTGGTCTCTTCATTTTGCTCAATGGGGGAGCATCCCTTTCTGTAGCTGTAGAGAGGTTCTGACAGTTGAAATAGTGTGGTTTCTCTAGTGAGTGAAGGTTTTAGGAGGCAGGGACTATTCCTTCTGTATGGCACAAAACCCCTTCAGGGTTTTTGGAGTTAGGAATGGAACAGGCAGTGGGATGGGTTAGGGTTGAACTGGAGAGTTTCCAGAGCGTAGTTTCCACAGTGGCTCAACTCTATGACCTTCCAAGGAAGATTCCTCCCCAGCTTTCCCTCTGCCATGGATCTCCCCAGCAACCAGCTTGAGTATCTTAGGCTGGAAAATGGGTTTGCCTCATAGAGCTTGATCCTGGTCCTACAGAAATCAGTACAGTTTTGACTGAGTTAACCTAAATTAGGACTTCAGGATTTGGCTTTTAATGTGAGGATTAATGGGTGCAGAGGGCATACATGAGGCCTTCTGCACTGGGGTGAGTGACACAGTTAGTGAATTGAAAGGCCCATGGGATTATTAAACAGATTTTTTTTTCTGGCCACTAATTTTGCATGAATGGGGAGAGTTTGGAAAAGAGGAAACTGGCATTTCTTAAGACTATTTGAGCTGCAAAATCCAGAATACTTTTTACGCATAAAGAGAGTGAGCAGCAGGCCTCGGAGAGAACTAAATCCTGATGATGTTGACTTCAGATACCAGTGTAGGGATTTGAGGTATGAGTAGGCCCATCGTTATGTCCCCTGAAGGAAGCTCACAGGCCTTAGAAGAGCATTCAGAGCAGGTGAATTCGGGGGAGAGATTAGGTGGAAGTATACTTACCATTTCACGGCCTGTAGGAACCAGATATTTTCTAACTTTGGAAATAGTTTGGTCCAGAATAAGCTGAGGGATGGGCAAAGGTTGGGAGGTGGGAGTTTTTTGTAACTTTTTCCAAACTGGTTTACCCTTCCTTCCTGATGAATTTACAGAAACACCAATGATGGCCATGACCACAAATGTTCTCCCTTAGGAGTGGCCCTTTTTAATATCAGGTTTCAGAGGAACAGCCGTGTTAGTCTGTATTCGCAAAAAGAAAAGGAGTACTTGTGGCACCTTAGAGACTAACCAATTTATTTGAGCATGAGCTTTCGTGAGCTACAGCTCACTTCTTAAGGTGCCACAAGTACTCCTTTCCTTTTTAATATGTTTGAGTTTGTGTTTCATGCTGCTATGATGGCTTATGGCAGTACAGGGAGGCTTTCGTAGCCCTAAGAGGGCTTCTGGCCGTACGGGGAGGTTCTCATAGTGCTACAATGGCTTCTGGTGGTATGGGGAGGCTTTCATAGCACTACGATGGCTTGTGGTGGTCTAGGGAGGCTTTCATAGTGCTACGATGGCTTGTGGCAGAAGGGGAAGGCTAACATAGCACTATGATGGCTTCTGGAAATATGGGAGGCTTTCACAGTGCTGTGATGGCTTCTGGTGGTACAGGGCGGTTTTCCTATCACTGTGATGGCTTGTGGGGGTCTGGGGAAGCTTCCATAGCACTATGATGGCTTCTGGCAGTACGGGGAGGTTTTCATAGCACTACAGGACTTCCGACAGCATGGGGACGCTTTGTTACCCAAAACTTTAGACGCTAATTAAGTTACCTAAAGGTTGTCTAATTTTAAGAAAAGGGATAAACAAGATTGTGGCTTGCCCTAAAGGAATTTCCATAGTGTTACCATAGTGTGTGTCTCTGACCCACAGAGGGCTCCGCAGAGTAAGCTAGTCTTGCTGACTTCTGAAAGGACAGGGATACAGCCTTCCGCTCAAGGATGGACACACAAGCAGTAACTCTTCGAAAACAAAATAATTATTTATTTAAAGGAAATAAGTGGTTACAATGTAGTAAATGAAGCAAGAAAGGATACATAGAGCATAGCAAAATGCAATAGAATTACATTAAAGACTTAAAGCAGTGCAATAAAATAAAAGACACAGATTACATAGGATATCTTAACACATACAAGAAATACAGTGGTTTCAATGTAACAAGCATATAGAGGTCCTGTATCCATAAAGGCTTTTAATCTTAATGATATAATTTAACCTCAGACTTAACACAATGCAGTATACGCAGCCCCTATATACACATATGAGAACCCATTACTGCATTCACAGATATAAAACATTTACTTAACATCAACATGAATACTTAACACTTGACACTGAAATTTTAACATTTTACACCTGACATTTAACATCCCATGAGGGGTGATCAGCCAGTTGCGGGATGGGTAGTGGAGATCTCCTTGAAGAAGCAGGCATCTAGATTTATTCACAGACAAACCCATACACTCTTAAATAATAGATAAAAAAAGAAGATCAGACTTACACTCCTTATTTAAATTTTCCTCCGATTCGTCTATTGGTCCTTCCGTCCGGTCTGATCCCCGGAGTGTGGCTGCCATAGCTGCACTGTTGCTCTTCTGCCGCGGATGCAGTGGCGGTTACTGCTCTTCTGTTGCTGCTGACAAGGTAGCTGCTCGTTGCCAAGCCAACCTCGGAATTCTGCTGCTGCTGCTTTTTCAGGTAGCTGCTTTCCAGGATGTTCCAGTCTTCTTTTCAAGCAGCTTCCATTCTTCAGCTTCAGCCTGCTGCTTCTTGGCTGCTTCTTGAGGCCTCAATCTCCAAAAAAACCCCATGTCTAAGACAACCCCCAACAGAACTCCAGGGGACCTTGTCAAGACTTCCCAGCCATCCCTACTGCCCAGACAAGCTGTCATACTCACTGACAGTGGATTAGGGAACTACCCGTGATGTCATCCTACCCTCAGCACAACTTGGTCAGACTGTGGTTTTTCTAGCTCCTCTGAAGAGCTAGCATTTCTGAAGACAAGACAAACGGATGTTTGATTAGAAAAGTTCATTCCATTTATTGGAGGGGAATAAAGTCATGTTACTTCTCACAAACTGGTGGTATCACTTTGCCCCTTAAATGTGAAAGGACCAATGCAGCAGTTTGTGCAAAATAAGCTGGAGTGGCATAGACCACCTGTTCACAGGCCCTGCTCACCTTCTCTTCTGATTTTCACACCCAGTACCCTTGTGGAAGTAGTGGAGGCTTATGAAGGAGTCTTTCTTCCCTCACGTGGTCTCTGTTCCCCAAATGGTGTTTTCTGTCTGGATGTCTTCCTTTGGGGCACGGAAGAGAACCAGCTAGTGACTCAGTGACTGCTGCATCTTTGACCCAGATACCTTATGGGGCTGCTTTTCAGACAATGGCTCAGGCCCAAAAGAATCCCTGATAAGTGGGAGGCTAAAATAGCTTCCATTTCACTAGACATTTGCCCATTGAGTGAGGACTACACTATCCTGTTACACTGCAGGAGTTACACAACTGATATGGGCACCTAGGACTGTCTTTTCTAGGGAAGACTTTCTCCTACTGCCTAAGAGCCTCTAGTCTTTGGACTTTATTTCCCAAGGTATAAATTACCTCTGTCATCACTGAATGACAGTAGGCTTGTTTGTGATGGCAGTGTCTCAGACTCTAAAATAAACAGCATATCTTGCAGTTGGGCAGTTATCTGTTTCCTGTTTCTTTTGCTTGTGCCCACTGAACTTCCATTTTCCTCTCTCTTCACAAGAATTTTTTTAGAATTAGTGACAAAACCAAGAAGAGGAAACTTTTGCACCCTTCCTCCCAGAAGAATGTATTTTTTGGTAATCCTGGTTTTTCTAGGACAAATTACTGGTATGTTTCCTATTAAGAAAAAAATTGCTTATTTCTATGCATATCTCACTTTCTTAATTCTTAAGAATATTTTGTGTCAAGTTCATTTTCTGGGATGTTTAATCTAAACATGTACTGCAGTATAGCATAAATATGAAATTAAAGAATTAGAGTTGGTTTAAGTTTGGTTAAGAATATATTGTGTTATAAAGAAAGGCACTGACTAGCAAGTAGAACATAAGGAAATAATAAGGCCTGAAGGAATGGAGTAGGGAGGATGCCTCTGACAGGGTTGACTGCAGATGATTTTAAATAAGGTAAAGAGAATCTGTTTTAAAAGGAGCCAGCCTGGACCTTTCCGCCCCACATACCAGTATGATCTTAAAAGTAAAGCCTGTGTGAACTCAAGTGAAATGAAAAAGTGGTTGGACAGTAGGGGGGAGAAGAAAAGATAAGGAGCAAAGATCTTGGGAGAAAGCAGATTGTAAATCTTATCTGGATCAAAACTGAAAATAAGGGTGAACTGTCTCAAATTAGCCATTAGCTAATGTGATAACTGGCTATGGCATCATTTGTTTTTTGAAGGGTATAAAAAGAATTATGAATTTGAGGTTTCTTTTATGCTTGTGCACATCAGGACTAGATGGTTTTCCTTAGGTCTGGCCTATTTGAAAGTATACTGATCGCATGGTTATGAATACTTTGTTACTGTATTGGGTGTAGTGACTGTTTATTTTAAGGCTGACAGGCATGTTTAGAGGCAGGTTAAAATACTATTTGGCCTTTGGATTTGATAAAGGAATGTATGGTTAAATTAGTGTCTGGTGGTCTCCCATATTAATTATTTCTAATATTATAAATAATTCAAGAAGTATTCCTGATTGCAAGCTATATTTACTGACTTTAAAAACATTTTAAAATGTTATTTTCTCAACCAATAAATGGACTAGGGAGTTGGGAGAGGCATTAGAGATGTCTGGAAAGTGCATTTGTGTGAAATACAGAGGGGGAGGGTTACGGGAATGTTTCAAAAGTGCACGTAGCTGGTGGCAAAATTAACTGGCAGTGGGGAGTTTTTACTGGTGTAGTATTTCATAGAATATTGCACTAAGCAAAACTGAGTCACTTGTTAGGGAAGCTATTTTCTCTATATTTGGGGCCACATCTTGCCTCCCTTACTCAGAAGGAGTAGCACCTTACTTGCTATTCCCAGGAATAAGGGTCACTGAGTCTGGCCCTCAGTGAGCTCTCACAGTGCTAACGTATTACACGTCACCAATTTCCATTTTGCTAAGGAAATTTTCAAAGAGAGAGTTAGAAATTGCATTCAGCCTCTATTTATTTATTTAATTTAATTGAATATGGGCTCAAACCTGCTACTAGTGAAATTAAAGAGTCCCATAGACTTCCAAGGGAGCAGGACTGGGTCTTAAAAATGTACACAGAAGTTCTGAATGTGAATGTGACCTAGTGGTTCCTTTTTGTACCCAAAAATAAAATAAAAAAAAATTCCCCCCAGCTGTATGTGCATAACTTAGCTTCAAACACAGCTGATCAGGAGAAAAGAGATATATTAACTGTCCACCTCTAATTTTGCTTTTGAAAGTATACATGGGATATATTATGTATCATGTGTACACAGCTGATAGTAAAACCGTGTAATGTTGGAAAAGTTTCTAGTCAGAACCAGTTTTGTAGATTGTCCTGAAATGGAGGTAGAATCATCAAAGCAAACCGTTCTAGTCTTGTCCCTTAACAGTTCTCAAGTGATTGCACACATGTGGCTGTCTTGAGCCATTGTTCTCTTCTTATTGAGTACATTTCCTGACAGCGCCCTTATTAAGCTAAATGAATACTTTCATACAATAAGCACCCCAATAACCAGTTCAAGATACAGCATCAATAAAATATCATAGGGCAGGATCAAATCAGTCATACCCCGATTGGCTAAATCTACCCCAAAAGATCCAAACAGAAGCTATTTTAAGTAATTTTCTTAGGTCTTTGTGGCAAGGACTCTCCTATGAAAGGGAACTGCTTTATAAGGGGGAAAAAGTCCCATTGGGGCACCATCCTGTTGTGGGAGGCAGAGAATAGGACCTGAAAAGTCCATCTGCCCTTCACTCTGTTCAGAAAGAGCACAATAGAACAGGTTGGAAGGCTCATGGTCTATTGAGGGCAGAGTCTGTCACAGGGTCTGCTCATGGCTGAAGGATGCTGTGGGGACAGAGGAATGCAGGGCCTGTTGGGGCTTTTGTAGTTTGGACAAGTATTGACACTTCTAGATTCCATGGCTGGCAAAACGTCCTCAACTTTGCTGGTCAAAATTTGACAAAATTCAAAATCTGATAAAATTTTACATCAAAATTTTGAATTTCAATGGATAAACTGGAAATAAAATGTCATGAATATTTTCACAAAATACTAATCAAACCATGACATTTCAATGAAAAAAAGTGGAATATATTTCCCTATCTTTCAACCAGCTCTGGTACTAAACCCCAATTTATTCAGTACTGTATTTAAAAAGCTGTGAAAATAGAAAAGCTAAAATGTTTTGTCTATTTACTTACCATCATCTATGCTTATATTAATAGTTCTAAGTATGCTTAATTTTTTTGCAGCAGACCAGCTGGAGGAGCTCATACACTGTTTTTTGTTGCATTTCACCAAAATGGCTATATTTTATTATAACTCTAAAATTTAGGAAAGAGGATTGGAGGCATAATCATGATGACAGTGTCTCTTAGACACATGACTCTTAAAGCCTTTGTAATTCACATGTAGGCCCCAATTCTGTAATCAGTAATGGCATGTGAGTAACTTTATGCATGCGAATAGTCCCATTGAATTTTGGAACTGTTCATGTGCACAAACGTTCTCAGGATCAGGGACTTAATCTTTATGTAGTTTACTAAAAATTAACTACCAAGGGCTGGATTTTCTAAGTTAAAACTGCAGTTTTGTGCCATGGCTGCTTGTGATTGGCCATTGGCCAAGGGAATTAATAAATATGGCAATCATTAGTACAAAAATACATATTTGTACCCTCTTTTTTCTTCTTTTGAACTCTCTTTGGTGTCATTCTCATGGTCAGAAATGGCCAAAAAACACCCTTTAAAACAAAGCCAATGTCAAGTCTTAAACTATGTAATTTGATCTGCATTTACTATGATCTGTGCAATATTCTTCTCATTCCCCAAAGTCCAAGTATAAAATTCCAGATCTGTGTTCTTAGTGCTAGATCCTACAAAGTTCTGTGGGTGTCATAGGAAGTACTCAGAGCACTGAGCTTCTGCTAATGGCAAAGGGAGGATGTTGAGCATGACCCACGAGGAACACAGCAGCATCCCAGAAGCACACAAGCTCGCAGGATTGGGCCCTTAATGATGCTTATAATACTGTAAAGAAAGTGCTGCAGGTTATTTGTAAAATAATTTCTGAATCATTTTGCATCATTTACATATTTTTAACAGGTGAGACTTTCTTTCATCATTATGAAAACGGAAATTTCACACTTATATGCAATGAAACAGTGGCTAATGGGAAGAAGGAAACAGTTTGGTACAAAACTGGAGAAACTCTGGAACAATTCAAAGAAATCAACTGCAGTAATCAATGGGCAGAAGAAATGAACAGCCCAAAAAAAGGCTGTGGTAACACAAAGTGTACAAACCAATTACCAAATTCTGCTTCCAAAGGTGGTGGGGTATTTGCATGTGAACAATTTACAAATACTGGCACATCACAGACTTGCCCACTTTTTACCAATGTGACTCACTGCAGACATTATAACTTTTTTATTGTGGTGATAATAAACATGACTGCAGGTGAGTGCATTTCTTGGGGGGGATGGAGGAGGGAAGGGTTTATTTTTAATTTATACATTCTAGAGCTGAGAGGTCAGAAAGGGAGTTAATGAGTTTAAAAGGAGCTTATTTAGAGAATTCAGGACTGAGGACCAGATTCTGCCCCTTTTACTTAGAGTGAATAATACAATTCCCCACCAGTGTTCCCTTGACTTAAATAAGGAACACCTATGGAGGAGGTGTTATGAGTGAGGGTGACTGAATTTGGCTTTGAATGAATTAGGCATTTGAACTAGGCTGAGTAAAGTAGTGAACAAAAGTGGAAATTGTTAAAAAAGAAAATAAATTAAAACAAATATCTGGCGAGTGGTCATTGAAAATCCGCACTTTTTGCCATACTAAGTCTACTTACCCTGTTGTTTAGATGCATTCCAACTCAAAGGCCTACTCATGATGTCTTTATTCAGTTTTTGCTCAGCCCTTTTTTGGGTAAATCCCCACCGATTTTAGCGGAATAAGTTGCTCTTCACTTTCCCTTAGAAACACACTTTTTGTAGTGAATCTGGTACAGTTTATCTGCCACCTTTCTACTTTAAAGTTGGTAGGGGAAGGGATCCTTGTACATGGAAGGCCGTGGGACTACACTGATTCATGCAAGCTGAGGATCTGGCTCACAAATTATAAAACATTAATACCCAGGTTTCTGCCTTGCTCTTTGAATTTCTGCCCCTAGAGTGAGATTCTCAACCATGCTCTGGCTGGGTAAACTGGCTAAAGGGTCTCTAAAATGGGCATCTGGTCTGGGTAGAATTCCCCCTTGGCACAGAAACTGAGGAAGACAGCAGCAGACTGTCCTTTTTAGCAACACTCTTGCAACTCCTGACATAGCAGGTATGGGCTTGGGTGCAGGCTGCAGAATGCAGCACTGCTTAAATTCAGGGCAGTTGTTCCTCAGGGCTGCCTAAATTGTACTGGGGGCTGCTTAAAGTCACCTTAGCCCCCCTCTGCCTGGGTTGTGAATTTTGTTCTGTGTGTCTAGAGGCACAGCACAGAATCTTACCTCTAGTGTTTTAAGCTTTCAATTGATTGTACTCACAAAATTGGTTTTGTTCCTATTTGTGCAGAGAAGGCACCTAAGAACCAAATTTGTGTATGCAAATATTTGTTGAGCACCCATAACAGGTATATGCTAAATATTGTGTCTGCAATTTGGAGCCTGGTCTGAGGATAATTGAAAATTTTACCTTGTAAACGCTGCAGAATCTCACTCTACAGGCCATTGTTGTTTTTAAATATGTTCATATTAAAAACCACTGTTCTCTGAATGTCCTGTTTAATATTTAATCTTTAATAGCTGTTTCACAATTTCACATTTTTTTCAGCTATTTGTCTAATAATGTATCTTGTGATACTATCAGCACTTAGGCCAGGGAAGACGCTGAACCAGGCAGCAGAAATGACAATGTATGTTTATTGCAGCTTGAGAATGTGGTTTCCCAGATGTTATCATAAAATTATAGATGTGTAGGACTGAAGGGCCCTCAATAGAGCATCTAGTTCAGTCCCCTGCTCTCAAGGCACGATTAAGTAATAACTAGACCATTCCTGACAGGTGTTTGTCTAGCCTGTTCTTAAAAACCTCCAATGATGGAGATACCACAACCTCCCTTGGCAATTTGTTCCAGTGCTGAACTACCCAGACAATTAAGAAGTTTTTCCTAATGTCCAACCTAAACCACCCTTGCTTTTTGTGTTATCCTCACAGGTTAAGGAGAAAAACTTTTCAGCCTCCTCCTTGTAATAACCTTTTATGTACTTGAAAACAGTTATGTCCCCTCTTAGTCTTCTCTTCTTCAGAATAAACAAACCCAATTTTTTCAATCTTCCCTCACAGATCATGTTTTCTAGACCTTTAATCATTTTGTTGCTCTTCTCTGGACTTTCTCCAATTTGTCCATATCTTTCCTGAAATGTGGCACCCAGAACTGGACACAATATTTCAGTTGAGGCCTTATCAGTGCAGAGTAGAATCATAGAATCATAGAATATCAGGGTTGGAAGGGACCCCAGAAGGTCATCTAGTCCAACCCCCTGCTCGAAGCAGGACCAATTCCCAGTTAAATCATCCCAGCCAGGGCTTTGTCAAGCCTGACCTTAAAAACCTCTAAGGAAGGAGATTCTACCACCTCCCTAGGTAACGCATTCCAGTGTTTCACCACCCTCTTAGTGAAAAAGTTTTTCCTAATATCCAATCTAAACCTCCCCCACTGCAACTTGAGACCATTACTCCTCGTTCTGTCATCTGCTACCATTGAGAACAGTCTAGAGCCATCCTCTTTGGAACCCCCTTTCAGGTAGTTGAAAGCAGCTATCAAATCCCCCCTCATTCTTCTCTTCTGCAGGCTAAACAATCCCAGCTCCCTCAGCCTCTCCTCATAACTCATGTGTTCCAGACTCCTAATCATTTTTGTTGCCCTTCGCTGGACTCTCTCCAATTTATCCACATCCTTCTTGAAGTGTGGGGCCCAAAACTGGACACAGTACTCCAGATGAGGCCTCACCAATGTCGAATAGAGGGGGACAATCACGTCCCTCGATCTGCTCGCTATGCCCCTACTTATACATCCCAAAATGCCATTGGCCTTCTTGGCAACAAGGGCACACTGCTGACTCATATCCAGCTTCTCGTCCACTGTCACCCCTAGGTCCTTTTCTGCAGAACTGCTGCCTAGCCATTCGGTCCCTAGTCTGTAGCTGTGCATTGGGTTCTTCCGTCCTAAGTGCAGGACCCTGCACTTATCCTTATTGAACCTCATCAGATTTCTTTTGGCCCAATCCTCCAATTTGTCTAGGTCCCTCTGTATCCTATCTCTGCCCTCCAGTGTATCTACCACTCCTCCCAGTTTAGTATCATCCGCAAATTTGCTGAGAGTGCAATCCACACCATCCTCCAGATCATTTATGAAGATATTGAACAAAACCGGCCCCAGGACCGACCCCTGGGGCACTCCACTTGACACCGGCTGCCAACTAGACATGGAGCCATTGATCACTACCCGTTGAGCCCGACAATCTAGCCAACTTTCTACCCACCTTATAGTGCATTCATCCAGCCCATACTTCTTTAACTTGCTGACAAGAATACTGTGGGAGACCGTGTCAAAAGCTTTGCTAAAGTCAAGAAACAATACATCCACTGCTTTCCCTTCATCCACAGAACCAGTAATCTCATCATAAAAGGCGATTAGATTAGTCAGGCATGACCTTCCCTTGGTGAATCCATGCTGGCTGTTCCTGATCACTTTCCTCTCATGTAAGTGCTTCAGGATTGATTCTTTGAGGACCTGCTCCATGATTTTTCCAGGGACTGAGGTGAGGCTGACTGGCCTGTAGTTCCCAGGATCCTCCTTCTTCCCTTTTTTAAAGTAGAGTGGAAGAATTACTTCATGTGTTCCTAAATCCCAGAGGTTTTCTCAGTGAAACTGGACATATATCTGTAGGAGAAGTAGCATAGTTAGTATCTCTAAGAAGATGCCCCACTTTTTTGGTGCCAGTAGACAGCTGGTCCAGGCGATGAATTATTATTTTGATAACCACCGATGGACTGAACATGCTGATAACCTTCTGTGCGAAGCTGAGCACCTTCATCTTCAGTGGAATGGGCGGGTACTGGCAACTTTGCAGAAGGTACTCAGACCTCACAGGATTGGGCCCCAAATGGCTATTTAAAATAGCTGACTTCTAGCCATAGTACAGTAGGTATTTGCGCCTGGTAATGTAAAAATGCCCTGTAAAGTGTTCATTGAAAAGGGGGGGGAGGGTATTTTATTTTAAAGACAAAGCATGTTATAACAGGTTGCAGTGCATGTTTATCACATCTTTTGTGTTTGTTTCATTCTGTATTGCAGATAACGAGAGTTTTGAGAGCATTCATGCAAAATCACACAATAATCGTTCAGCAGAAGAAGAAAGTAACATCACTCTGTCTTGTGAATTTAAAATGAAGCACTCAGGACAACCATTTGTTATATATTGGATCAAATATACAGAAACAAGCAAATGCCTGTCTTCTGTTCAGACAGAGCAAGTTACTTCTAATTTCTCGTATAATACACTTTGCTGTATTGATGAGATGATCAAAGGGCGACTATTGCACAATACAAGCTTAGATACAACCAAGTTACATGTAGTCCATAATATTACCATCTTGAATGTTATTTACTCTGACAGTGGAACTTATTTATGTGTTGTAAATGCCTGGTCAAATGGTAAACATGTGTGGAAGATTGCAAATAACCTTTCTATAGAAGTGAGGACTCAAGCCATTCCTTGTAAGTTAGAAGTTTTATAGTTGGGGTTGGTACCAAAGTTGCTTATAATTTTGCCAAACTTTTGCTATTTGGGATAAAATTTTCCATGCTGGGAAAACTTCAGCGAAAATGGTTCAGCCATTTTGAGAACAACCCATGGAAAAATGTGCTATTTTGCCCAAGTTTAAAATTCTGGTGATATTTTCTTTGAACAGATCTTTGGAATAGGGACTTGACATTTGGCAGGAGAGCAGCCTTTGTGTTAGCAGTGTACCTTTTACCATTCCCATGAAAGTCTGCCTAAATTTCGCCAAGTTATAAGCCTCTAAAAATCGCAGTGCACAGATGCTCAGTAAAGACTTCTTAGATTTCAGCCACTAAATTCCCCAATGCTCCAGCCCAGTGCTGAGTGGGCTTTCCCTGCAATTGCAGGTCTGGGCTGCTGTGAGCTATGCAGTATCCAGTTCCAAGCAATTGAACTGAGACTGAACTTCTGTGCTGTCAGTGACATCCATGCTGGGCCCAGGCTTCAATGGAGGAGAAGGAATGAAGAGATGATAGAAGCTAAACAGCCAGTTGGGGGAGGGTGGAAAGATCAGAGTGTGAGAAGGAGCTTGGTGGGGGAGACTGAATGCATGAGGCTAGTGGATGGGGCAGCAGAAGAAGGAAACTGGGACTGGGAGCTGGGGTGCGGGAGACTGGGACTGAGAGCTGGAGACAGAAATGTGTGTGTGGTCAGGGGAGAAGGACACTAGAAGCCAGTAGGTGGGGGAGACTGAGATCAGATAAGGAACTGGGAAGAGACTGGGATTGGCTGGGCAAAGTGCCTGGGATTGAGAAACAGTGAGATGGAGGAGGAGGAAAGGGGAGGGGCAGAGATCTGATGAGCCAGGATGTGTGTGTGTGGCGGGGGGGAGAAGTGGGAATGGCTGAGCAAAAAATAGTGGGCTAAGGAGCCGGGATGGGGTGGGGAAAGTGCTGCGATTAGACAAGGAGCCCAGAGAGGGAGAATGGGACTGGGAATCAGTGGGGATGGAGAAGATGAGTGCGGGAGGGGGAGACTGGAGGGAAGCATTGGGAAGAGAGACAGGTTGGATGAGAAGCTGGAAGAGGGAGGAAAAGGGAATTGCTTGGCAAAAAGGCTGGACCTGGGAGTGAAGGGGAGATTGGGACTGGGATTGGAAGTTTGGAGGGGGTGAGACAAGGAAACTGGGACTGGGATGAGAAGCCTGAGGACTGGTGACTGCAATTAGGGTAGGCAAGGAGAACAGGACTGGGATGGGGAAGAGACAGGACTGGGACAAGGACAGGTTTGAGAGGATGGGGCAAAAGGGGTCATGCTGGGAGGGGATTGGTCAGAAGAGTCCATGCCTGCTAGAGCCACCCCCTCCAGAGCCTGCATGGAAGTCAAGATTCCTGAGTCTCACCATTCCTCTGCTGTTAGCAAATATCTGTGAAACTCACAGGGAAAGTGTCATGTCCCCCTCTAGCGCTGATCCACATGACAACCTACTACTACTGCTATCGGTGACAAAGTTAGCTTACGTGGCATAGGTCTTTGTGGTGGATCTAAATGTCCCAACCTGCCGATGACTCAGTGGGTATCAATATGATGTCAAATAATAGAATTTCTGTTTTTTCAGTTTGCTTTCGTAAGAAAGCAGTAAATTACCCCCTGCCCCCAACACATTAAAAGAGCATTAAGGTTGCAAAACCAAGCACTCCAAAGTTGGGAGATGCCAGTACTAAGGTTGCTGACTTGAGACCCTGGGATCTGATTTGCAGAAGTGCTGAGCACCAGCAGCTGCAGCTTCAGTCAGTGGGAGTGAACATATAAAGTGCCATAGAATGCTAAGTTCTATGAAATAGCAGGTCCTAGGTATCTCAAATGGGGGATGGAAAATTAGTGGATTTTTAGACCCTAATCTCTCTGACCACAGTTCCTCATTTGTCCAAAGGAGTTTACAGACTAGGTTTCATTTTTTTAAATAACTTGGTTTGAGGGATTAATCTGATTAACTGTAGGAACAAATGACAGTATTTCAAGGTCTTACCACCGGCTTGTGCCAGCATAACACATAGCCAGAGATCATGAAATCTTAGCCCCATTAAAGCTAAAGTTAATGGCAAACATCCCATTGACTTCAATGGAGACAGGATGTCACCCCTAATTGCTGTAGGGCAAAATCAAGGTTAGGTTGTACAGCAGTAAAGAGATGTAAGGCATACCATGGATTGCAGTGTGGGGAAGACAGAAGGCTCTGTGGAGCATCTACACTCACCCCGCCCCCGCCCCGGTCGCCTCTCCATAAGCAGGTGAATGAAAATGGGCAGGGAATGGAGAGATTCTTGGCTTTGCCTCCCCAACACGTTGGCTAGCTATACTAGACAGTGAACTGTAAGAAATACACTGCACCAGGTGTACACTAAGTGCAGGGGTGGGGGAAGACCTGGAGGCAGACTGTTTCTTTTTCAGGGCTCATGGCAAAACACAGTTGAGTCCAACATTTGTACCTGCAAATGCATGTGGACACAAAAATGGAGGACAGTTTTAAGCCCCTTTAAAAATGTGAACCTCAATATTTATGCTTTACAGTTGTGCTGCATTAACCCACTAAAATACTACAGTATTCTTCAGTAATGTCACAAGACACTGCAGTATTGCTACTGTAACATATTGTGTTGCATCATTACAGTAGAATATTGAAAAAGTTTCTCATAAGAAAACTTGATTTCAATAAGCTAATTTATCTGCTGTTTTTATTACCAATCCTAGCATGCTGTATCCTGGAACCGTGTACATTAATGGGTTGCTGAATGTGTATTATCCACATAGTAGTTAAACATTTTTTGATCACTTGAAAAGCACTATCCGTATAATGGAGATGATGGTAAAGTGTGTTTCTGACTATCTAGTTAAATTTTTAAAGATTAACTAACCCTGGTCCTCTCTTTAGCCTCTGCTTCCGTGCTGTTGTATGCCACCACTGGATTGATCGTAGGGATTATCATCATCAGTGGGATAGCATGGTTGATCTATAAAAAGAAAATCAAATCAAAAGGTAGGAAAAGTAAAATTAGTAAGTAAGATCTGCAGGAGTATTTTAACCGTTGAAACTTTACAGTGTGTTTTATTTATCTGTTACAGGAAAGCCATCTGCACAACTTCCCAGGTATGGCCTTGAAAGGACATTAAAAATGATACTAATATTTCATTAGTTAAGTGTTTTTTTCCAACTGATAATGACTAAATAGATTCTTCCCTTATCTTCTTATTTTAGAGCTCAGGCTGCTCTTGAAATTCCAGGAGATGAATGTGAGCATTAAGTTTTTGATAAACCTTTTTGAAGTGATTGTCTACTTAGCATATTTTGAGAATTGTGTACTATAGATTTCTTAGAGCAGGGGTGGCCAACCTGAGCCTGAGAAGGAGCCAGAATTTACCAATGTACATTGCCAAAGAGCCACAGTATACGTCAGCAGCCCCCCATAAGCTCCCCCACCCTGCTCCCAGCGCCTCCCACCCACCAGCAGCCCTGCTGATCAGCGCCTCCCACTGTCTCCCCGCACCACAATCAGCTGTTTCGTGGCGTGCAGGAGGTTCGGGGGAGGGCAGGAGGAGAGAGGGCATGGCAGGCTCAGGGGTGGATTGGGGGCAGGGCCTGTGGCAGAGCCAGGGGTTGAGCAGTGAGCACCCCCCGGCACACTGGAAAGTTGGCGCCTGTAGCTCCAGCCCTGGAGTCGGTGCTTATACAAGGCGCCGCATATTAACTTCTGAAGAGCCGCATGTGGCTCCGGAGTCACAGTTTGGCCACCCCTGTCTTAGACTGTCTGGGCACAGTTTTACATTTTTAAACTTCAAATAATGCCAATGCTTTTTTTGACAAGTAACTTTTTGTTAATCAAATTAGTTTTGGTTAAGTAGACAGTTGTTCTTTAGGGAGGATGGTCTTGCAGTTAAGGCACTGGAATAGGATATGGGTCATCTGAGTTAAATTCTTGGCTCTCTCACATACATCCTGTCCCTATGACTTTGGGCAAGTTACAGAATCTCTCTATGCCTCAGTTTCTCCTCAGTAAAATGAATATAACAATGCTTCTTGCTCTCTCTGGGGTGCAAAGATAGAGTCATGTGTTCTCAGTGTTTGTGTGTTCTGACAGAATAGTGCTGGGTCCATAGAAGAATCTAGCAGCTGGGTGATTCTGAATCGTTTTCCTAGCTACTAGAGGTGGGGTACAGTAGACAGTAACCAACACAGGTCTTAATTCTGGGCTGAATAGAATGGAGTCAAATTCCATTATTTGGAGGTAGGAGAGAAGAATTTATTTAACGTCCTTTACAAAGGGAGATAGTTACTACTTTATTTAGTTGATTTATTTTAGTTGATGTTGTATTTTAATTCTGTGAGATTCATAAACTCTTTGATGCAGAGTACTTGTTTTACAGGTTCCCCGTACGCAATAAGCAGCAGCAAAGACTTACAAAGTAATGAAGTGTTGTATTCACTTGCAACAAGCCCATATGAGGACCCAAATGCAGCCAATTGTACGGTGGATAACACTGCAGCATCTGGCAAGGGGTCAGGAGATGAAATACATACAGTCTATGCAGTGGTGCAACAATAGCTGTTCCTGTAAGTGACTTGTAAGAGGAAGTGTTATTTTTGATAAATGACATTGCAAATACTACCACCCAGATTAGTCACACTAGTATAACTAATAGGAGGCTATATGAGTACAGTAACTCCTCACTTAACATTGTAGTTATGTTCCTGAAAAATGTTACTTTAAGTGAAAAGATGTTAAGCGAATCCAATTTCTGCAGAAGAATTAATGTAAATGGGGGAGGGGATTAGGTTCCAGGGAATTTTTTTTTCACCAGACAAGAGACACTCACTCACTCACTCACTCTCTCCCCCCCCCCAGTATAAGTTTTAAACAAACAATTTAATACTGTACACAGCAATGATGATTGTGAAGCTTGGTTGAGGTTGTGGAGTCAGAGGGTAGAAGGGGGCAGGATATTTCCTAAGGAATGCCTTACTGCTAAATGATGAACTAGCACTTGGCTGAGCCCTCACACTCTACAAGGGAACACGAATGAAGGGAGGAGACACAGCATGGCAGAGAGAGACAGAGACACACACCGTGTGTGTGTGTGTGTGTGTGTGAGAGAGAGAGAGAGAGATGTGCACTGCCCCTTTAAGTATGCTGATCCCACTCTAAGTACACTGCCTTTTTAAGTAGATCAGCAAGTTGAGACAGTAGCTGCTGCCTGCAAGTTCCCTCTGTCCTGAGACTTGTTGTGTGTCCCCCCTGCTCTGTGGAGATGGGGTACAGGAGCGGGAAGCAGGAGCGGGGGAAGGGGGACACCCTGACATTAGCCCCCCTCTTCCCCCTCCCCTGCACAGCAAGCAGGAGGCTCCCAGGAGCAGCTCCAAGGCAGAGGGCTGGAGCAGCACATGGCAGTGTGGGGAGGGATACCTGAACTGCCCGGCAATTGATAGCCTGCTAGATGACTGCTGCACAGGGAACTTAGGGGAGCTAATAGGGAGGCTGCCAGCCCACCCTGGTGCCAAGCCCCGACTAGCCAGCTCCGACAGGCTGCTCTTTCTGCAAACAGTGGACAAAGCAGGCGGCTGCCAAATAACGTTATAAGGCAGCATTGCACATCTTTAAACGAGCATGTCATAAAAATAAAGGAAAGGGTAACCACCTTTCTGAATACAGTGCTGTAAAATCCCTCCTGGTCAGAGGCAAAATCCTTTCACTTGTAAAGGGTTAAGAAGCTAAGGTAACCTCGCTGGCACCTGACCCAAAATGACCAATGAGGGGACAAGATTCTTTCAAATCTGGAGGCGGGGGAACAAAGGGTTTGGTCTGTCTGTGTGATGCCTTTGCCGGGAACAGATCAGGATGCAAGTTTTCCAACTCCTGTAAAGTTAGTAAGTAATCTAGCTAGAAAATGCGTTAGGTTTTCTTTGTTTAATGGCTTGTAAAATTCACTGTGCTGAATGGAATGTATATTCCTGTTTTTGTGTCTTTTTGTAACTTAAGGTTTTGCCTAGAGGGATTCTCTATGTTTTGAATCTGATTACCCTGTAAGGTATTTACCATCCTGATTTTACAGAGGTGATTCTTTTACCTTTTCTTTAATTAAAATTCTTCTTTTAAGAACCTGATTGATTTTTTGCATTGTTCTTAAGATCCAAAGGTTTGGGTCTGTGTTCACCTGTACTAATTGGTGAGGATTATTATCAAGACTTCCCCAGGAAAGGGGGTGTAGGGCTTGGGGGGATATTTTGGGGGAAGACATCTCCAAGTGATCTCTTTCCCTGTTCTTTGTTTAAAACGCTTGGTGGTGGCAGCATACTGTTCAAGGACAAGGCAAAGCTTGTACCTTGGGGAAGTTTTTAACCTAAGTTGGTAAGAATAAGCTTAGGGGGTCTTTCATGCAGGTCCTCACATCTGTACCCTAGAGCTCAGAGTGGGGAAGGAACCTTGACAGAGCATGTTCTCTAATTGATCAGCAATGTAACAACGAAACAACATTTAACCAGGACAGTGTTAAGTAAGGAGCTACTGTATGCACTAATAATAGGAAATATGCTTCCAGTTGTATGAATCTGCTCAGGGGTCTGTTTCTCACTACAGCAGTATGGAACTTTAGTTATCTCCTGTATCTTCCCCTTTTTGCACTGTGTAAGCTGTAGATTCGGCATTTCAGATTTGTGTCAAAAGGAACAGGTTAATCAGGGAATTGTTCAGCTCGAGCAAACCTTAAATTGATCATATACATTGAACAGCTGTGACCTTTGAGCCAGTGCAAAACATGCAGGAGGGAGAAGGCACAAGGAGCAGTTCATTGGTTTGCCATAACTGCAATCTCTGTGCTCTCCTGAGTGCAGGAACTGCTTCCTGGGACACAAGCTGCCCAAAAAGTGGAATAGAAGGTACAGGGAGATGGTATGGTCATGGCCCAACCCGCTCCACCCTACACTTTCCTTTGGGGATGCACGGCATCTGTTCTTGCCCAGCAATGCAGAGTAGTTCCAGGAGATGGTGGTGTAAATTGCTTTCCTGTCACATATGGCTTTGAATACACATAGAAAGGCCTTTTATGGTTCATTTAAGGTCAGAATGCTCAAAGTTGTATTCTTGAGTATTGGTACCATTGTTTGGGCCTGTATTTCTCTTGAGCACTAATTTGCCTTTGTAAAACAGCCACGAAATCCCCACTACTACTCCTTTTTTACAGTAAAATAAATAAATAAATAGAAATCACTTTGAGAGTAATGGGCCATAGTATCCTGTCACATGCAATTGCTTTGATATCAATGTAACTGCCACCTGAGAGGAAAATTAGTGAGAGATTGTTATTCAGAAGGTATAATGAATGCTGAAATATGACTTTCTCTAAAACCATATTTAAAAGTTCTCTACTGACCATGAAATTGTTTTTCTTTTAAAAGAGCTGGAGAATGGAAGTTGGTTTGAAAATGACTATCAACTTTTGGCTGATTTTCGGGGAAAAAACCCAGCATAGTAGCCTTGACTACCCAATTTTGACTATTCAGTGAGCTATCTTACAAAATATAATGGGGCAGATCCTCTGCTGATATAAATTCTCATAGCTCCGTTATGAAGCTATGACAGTTTGCACCAGATGATCATAAGAATTGTCACACTCAGACCATTGGTTCATTTAGTTCAGAATCCTGTCTCCAGCAGTGGCCTTCACCAGATGTGTCAGAAGTAGATGCAAGAATCCCCATAATGGACAGTTATGGCACAACTTGCTCACAGGGGAAGTTTCTTCTCAACACCTATCAGCTAGAGGTTGGCTATGCCCTGAAGCAAGAGTGTTTTATAGCCCTCATACATATTATGCTATCTAATGTAACGTTATCCTTCGTGTATCAAAACCTATATAAATGAATGATTGCTTTAGGAACAAAGATCTTTATTTTCCTCCAGTTTTACATTGGTGTAATTCTGTTGGCCCCACTGAAGATACTCCTGCTTTACATTGGTGTAAGTGAGCGGAGGATCAGGAGCTTTACTGGTAATCCACCTCCACGAAGGGACTAGCTCCGAGTGTTGGGAGCAGCCTGTGTACACGAGGGCTTTAAAGTGCTCTGACTTGCTGCGTACACCCCTGAGCCAGCAAATTAGAGCGCTATAAAATGTAAGTGTAGCCAAGCCCTGAGACACTCAGGTGTGATTACTAGAGCAGGCAGAATCAATTAAGGACACTATTAGCCCCTACGTAAGTTTTTCTTCTTTAAAACAGCCACATTGGCTATAATGTTGCGAAGGGAGCCTGGGGCCCTTTATGTAGTCTGAGAAAAGGTACAGGACAAACCATGTTCCAGGAACTAGCAGAGCCACTCTCCTCCTAACCTAACAAAAACAGCTGGCTTGTAGCTGGCTGCCTGATTGACTGCACTGCCTGATTGGTTTGAGCAGTGCAGCAGGCCAGCACTTAAGCCCAGCAGCAGTTCAGTGTCTCTTCAAAGCATTTACTCACGGCTGAGCTAGCTCCTATGTGTGCTTATGTGTTCTAGCCCTGCCCCACTTCAGGTAACCTGTTTCTGACCCTTGGACCTGATTCCTAATTTCAGTTCTGGCACCTAGCCTCTGATTGTGGCTCTGACCCTGGGCTCTGGTGCCTGTGTCAACCGCTCGGCATGACTGCCCATGTCCTGGCCACTGACACCATGGCAGTGCCAGTGTCCTCACGTAAGCCTTTTTAGCCATCACAAAGGTGAGAGGAACCCTTGCTAGGATGAGAGAATAGTTGTATCTCTGTGCCTATTTAAATATTCAGTCCACTGGAATTTCCATATTCTCCATTTACTTTCCCCTGCCCACCTTACAAGCTTGACACTGAGTGAAGTGATCCTCTTTCAAGAGTCTGTTGGCTCCATTCTGGATGCTCAAGTGGGTTGAGTGTGATGGGTGATGTGAGAACTCCAAGGGGTTGAGTGTGATGTTCCAGCACCCCTGCAAAGACAACTTATATAGTGGAAACTGTAAACCCTGTATATAACAGAAACTACTTCAAGCCAGGTGGTGTGGCAGCACCCCTAGTTCCAGTGTTCCAGGTCCAGGTAGGGGGACCAGATAGCAAGTGTGAAAAAGTGTGACACTTTTATGGGGAGGGGGGCGTATAGTTGCCTGTATAAGAAAAATCCCATAATATCGGGATGTCTGGTCACCCTAGGTATAGGGAACTTGAGGCCTGAACTTGGACATGGTACATTGCATTGCTACAAGCTCACCCTGGTCCCAGGAGCAGCAGGATGGAGCAATGTTGGGGGGAGGGGCATGTGAATCTCTCCTGCTTGCTCTCCTCCCTTGGCTGGCAGCCACAAGGGCCGACTGAAAGAACTTTTTAAAAGTTTCTGCGGGCCGCAGTGGGGAGGTTCTCGGGCCACAGATGATCCACAGGCCGGGACTTTGAGACCCCTGGTCTATAGCTCCAATCCTGCTTATACTTAAGCACATGCTTAACTTTAAGCATGTTAGCTTCATTGAAGGGAAAGGGACTATTTATAAGGTGTCAAATTCAGCATATTCTTAAGTGTTCACAGGATCAGGGTTTATGTAGGTGCATTTATTATAATATAAAATAAAAGGGAATGTAGGGACCTACAAGACCTCACAAGCAGCATAGCCCTACTAGTTACACTGCATCCTGGGCTGTCCATGTCCATGGAGGAGTGGGAGAGAATTTCAAAATGTGCTAATTTCAGTCATATATAGTAATGGACTTCCCCTCTCTTGTTGGCTGGGTGGCAGGTGGGTGTGGTTTGAGAAAGGCTGGGAGATTGGTAATTTAAACAAAGTAGTTTTTTGGGGAGGGAGGAGGGGCTGCCTCTTGTCAGCTCCAGGCAGGCAGTAGATGCAATGTAAGGGCTC